CTCATCTCTCTCTCATCTCTCTCTCATCTCTCTCTCATCTCTCTCTCCTCTCTCTCTCCTCTCTCTCTCTCTTCTCTGTCTCTCGTCTTTCCATCTCTCTTCTCTTTCTTCTCTCGCAGGAGGATCCGGGCAAAGAGCCACATATAAAGGACTCTTCACCCCTGCCTCCAAAAAGAGCGCCGTGTTTTTCCTGCCTCGCTGCCCTCCACTTTCCCATTCTGGAGCGCTAGCTTTCGCCCCCCCCCCTTGGCCTCAAGTCTGAATCCCCCGGACTCCGCCCGAAACTGCTTCAAGAGAGCGCGAGGATTCTGCACCACACATCGGTGGGAGTCGCCCCGACCGCCTTTCGTGAGCGGCTTCAGGTCGGGTGGAGGAGTCGCTCCAAATACCCATGGACGTGGATCGCTCCAGGATCCAGGCCGGAGAAGATGGGTCGACGTCTGGGGGTCGAGTCCAAATTGGCCGACGGATCGGGACACACGGTTTGCAACAGAACAAAACCACGCAAAACCATATCAATAATATAGTTATATATCTAATGATCAATTGTTGCTTAGTCCTTTTTTTGGTGCATGTTGATTGCCTGTTGTACACTCGTCCGGTTTGGATCCCATTCTTCCTGGCCTCGTCTCCCCGTCTCGACCTGGTCATCGAGTTTCGACCCGAAGCGCGGTACGCCGTTGGACCAACCAGAACCTGTGGACCGAACGAGGCGAGAAAACCATGGTGAGAACATCAACAAGGAACTGGCTGCCAACCTCAAACCTTTCCTTTTTGAGGTCCGTTCCTTTTTGGAACTTGTTCGCTTCTTTTCCACAACGTGCCATCGGTGTACTTCGTTGCTCTCTCTCTCTCTCTGTGAACGTTCCGCGTGGCAGAGAAAGCGAGCCAGCTCTGGGCGACCCGGGAGAGGAAAGGAAGGAAAGGAGGAGAGCACCTGAGAGGATGAGACGGTTTTGACCAGTTTTGCTGCCAAATAGATGGCCCCCAATAGCACGGTTTCCAATACATTTTAGGTGGGGATCTACGAACTTCTATCTATTTTAGGGTCTATTATAAGCAAAGCTTTGCAGAGTCCGGTAGTGCATGATGAGTCCTTGAATGTCTTGGCAGCCATTCCACGCTGGTCCAGTTGGATCCCCTTGAAAGCTCTTTGCGCATCCAACAGGTCCCGTGTCAACGGTCACCTGGTCTTGGAGAACGGTCCTAGTTCCGGAACAAAACGAGAACAAGGAGGTACTCCTCTATGTAGTATCATGTAACTGAGGGTCCTTCTTAGACAAAACAGCAACCAGCCTTTGTATGTATATTCTTGCCAGACTTGAGTGAAGCGGCACCTACTGTACCTGACCTTTGGATCAATTTGGCACGATGCTTTGTGTGATTTTGGCATACATCGGTCTATCCGAACGTTGACTGTTCAGGATGCAGTTCGGAGGAGAGACCGTCCAAAGACATCGGGCGCTGTGCTCAGGCCACCTGCAAAGAGGGCCACCTCCGTATCCTCTTGCCGCGCCGTCTTAGTCGCTAGGCCGGTGCGACGGTCATGGAGTTGTTGTGGGGGGTCCTTTCCTGCACCGGAGACCGGAATGAGACCGGACGTTTTTAAGTCTTCGTTTAGAAGCGGGCCCCCAGCAGACTACAGCAAGGCAGCGCTAGATTGGCGCTTGGTTGGCGCTAGGTTTCTTCATAACAGGATGATAAGCAAGCAGGAAAAAGAAGAAACAAGCAGAGAGCAGGAAAAAGAAGAAGCACGACAAGAAAATAAAAACAAACAAGAAGAAAAAAAGAAGAAGAAGAAGAAGGCACAACAAGAAGAATACAAGCAAGCAGGAAAAGTAAAAATATTACAAGATAAATAAATCGACGGCAATTTTTGCGTCGTTTTTCCTATGTCGTTCTGAAGGTTTCTGAGAACTAAAGATTGGAAACAACTCAGAAGTCAACAACAGCTCCAGCAGCTCAACAGGCTCCTGAAAAGGTCCGCGCTAGACACCTCTCACAGTTTTTGCAGTTGACATGCCTTCATGTTTAACATCCCTGTGGTTTGAGCGCGGTTGGAGTTAAAGTTTAAAGGAGATTTAGAAGCGGGCCCCCATGGAATTGCGATGGGTGCACCATTTTGGGAAAAAACATTTTGGAAGCCAACCATATGTACATAATATATATAATATATATATATAGATATATATCATTACCAATCTTAGTAATTCTTATTTCTTGGCCGAGCTGGTAACGGTGTGCCTTTTTGCTTTCTGTGCAAAACGCGTGACTCCGCAAGGAGTTGGGAAAACAAAGATAAGTAGCACTTTTTGTGGAACCTGTTTCGATCATAGAGCCAGTGCCTTACTGTTTCCCCGCAGAGTTTGAGCGGCGGAGCAAAAGATTCACTCGGGCAGTGTTTCCCTCCAAATATTTCAGATGAAGCCGAGCACCTCGGGACGGGGGGGAGATTTTGCCGGAACCGACGGCCCCGGGATGAAAAGTGATTGGCCGATGGCAGGATCCCTGGAGGGGAGGTCTTAAAGAGTCTTTGGTGTGGAAAACTCCCCCGTGAAACAAAACTCAAAAGGCAAACTTATAATCCAGAAAGCACGTGCTGCTTGTCATCATGTTGGGACGCTAGATGATGTTTCTCCCAGGAAGACATGGGAAATTCTCGGACACTTCTCACACCCTATCAATGTGTGAGTGACAAAGAACCCATTTTCTATGTTATGCGCCAAGTTCCACGTGTGAGAAGAGCTGGCCTTTTGAGAATGCTCGGTGGATGCTTGATAACCGACAATCCCAAATCTTCAGCTGGACCCACTTGTTTCTGTGGTAAATCCGAATGCTCGCTGGTCCGAATTTGGGTGTTCTTCGCACCCGCAACTGCCTTGTGACTCCAGCGCTTTCATTTGCTCTTAGAGCTCTCTTTAACGTTCGGTTTTTATAGAGCTCTCTTGAAAGGTTTGGCTCGTCCTGGTTTGTCATGTTTCACACTGACACTGACTGCTTGTCTTCGCCGCGAGGCAGGCAACCAGATGTACGGCGTCCGTTGCTTGGACATGTGGAGTTTTTTTCGGGCACAGTCGTGGAGGCATTGGGTCGTTCGCCATGGCGAACGGACAAAGTGACAGGCACATTTGGTGTCCTAGAATTGTTGGGGTAGAATCAGAATTGATGGGGCAACCTCGATTGGCGTCCTGGCCCGGACAACTCAGGAGCCACCAGTTCACTAAAAACATCTAAAAACAATCTCGAGTTGGTGATTCTGAGCAGCCAACACCCACCCACCTTTTCTGCTTCCTACCCTCGGCCTAAGACTTCATTGACAGGGAAACATGGACACTGAGAAGCGGTGGAGTCACTGGTAGAGGTACAGTTCATTTTCCCACTTTCCCACCTGCCAAAGTTCCTAGTTTGCGCGGTCTTGAATTTACTGCGCGCCAGAAGTGTGACGAGAAGTGCCCGTTTCTGAACGAACGAGGGCTTATAAACCACTCATTCGCTATATTTGTAGCTTTTGAACTTTGAACTGAACAGATCAGGTGGTGCTTCTTGGCCATGCAGCCTTGCTCCCAGGCAAATGGCCACGCCGAACATCCGGAACTTGTTTAAGGAGCCGTAGCGGCTCAGATTGATTTGTATGGATGAGTTCTCAGGATGTGGGCAAACAAGACCAACTGTATGTGGTTAGGTTTGTGGATCTGCCAACTAATGCATTGTCCGTTGAACAACACCGAACACCCCAAGATCTCCGAAAAGTGTTTGATGTTGCTGTTGGATTGGGATTTTAGTCTTGACACCCGATAGACTGACCCTTGCTGGACGCACGACAGCCGCGGGATTTGCGTCTTGAACGATCTATTTGTCTACACCGTGTCTACACAGGTTGGCTGGTTGGCACAGAATGGACATCGGCAACAAGGACAAGTGAAAAAGAACAGCAAAATTGCTCCTCTACTACCATACCCAGGCACAGTGTGCTGTGTTGGAAGAGCATATTCGGGTTGACCTTCAAATCCATGGTTTGCTGTTACTGGCTGGGAAAATCCAAAGCCAGAGAACTCCAGTGTTTCAGAGTAGATAGCACTGTCACCCTAAGATGTCTTTGAAGTTTGGAGGTCCATATAAACCTCCGAACTTGGGGATTGTGCCATCTACTCTCAATCCACTATGAGACTATGAGCCTAAAGGGGGTTTCCATTATTTTTCATTCAAGCTTCCAGGTTGTGGAGTTGAGAACTTGCCCGACGGTGCCTCAGTGCTGGAAGCAGCCCAAGTCTTGCGTTGAGTGGCTGGTCACGAGCTTTTTGGAAGGCAACCTACAAATCCAATTAAACAATTAAACTATTTGCAACTTTCGGATGTAAATCCAAGAAAAAGAGTAACATCTTTGGCCAGATGAACCGGTCTTTGTTCATAGTGCGTTCAAAACCGTTCCAGCGCACTTCAGAGATATCGTCGACCTGTGTGATGCTACACAGTAGATCATCGTAGATCACAGGAGATTTGCGGGATGAAATAGAATTTATAGCAGATGATAGCAGGATCCTCAGGATTAACTGTATTATATTCTATTAATTTATACTTTTAACACAACCTGACAACCGTGTCAGCCATGTGACGGTGCGTTTCGGCACCGACCCATGAAACAAAGGTTCAGAACACTGATTCTTCCAAAACGCCAGAGATCAGCCGCCCAACGCGCGATGACGGTGAGCTGAGAACAGTTGCTTCCCACACGACCGATGGGTGTGTCGTTCAACCAGATGGGCGGAGAAAGGGGGGGCCCTCTTCAGTTACCCCAGTCTTCATGGCAAACCTTGCAAAAGTGAAGACTTTTGAAACGGACCCATTGGCCCATCAAGCATGTCGTTTAACGCGAAGACCGGATTAATAACCCTCCCGCGTGGAAGGTCTCGAAGGTCTGAGGTACCATTCATGAGGTCCACGTATCCTGAATAATCTGCTAAGGGGGGAGTAGGAGTAGAAAGTAGTAGTCGTCATCGTCGTCGTCGTCGTCGTAGTAGTAGTAGTAGTCGTAGTCGTAGTCGTAGTCGCAGTCGCAGTCGCAGTCGCAGTCGCAGTCGTAGTAGTAGTAGTAGTAGTAGTAGTAGTAGTAGTAGTAGTAGTAGTAGTAGTAGTAGTAGTAGTAGTAGTAGTGGCAGTCGCAGTAGTAGTGGTGGTGGTGGTAGTAGTAGTAGTAGGTAGTAGTAGAGCAGAAGTAGCAGCAGCAGTAGTGGTAGTAGTAGTCACGATAAGTTTAAGCAAGCACAAACAAAAAGCCAGGGACACAGGATCAAATTAATAGGGGGTAGTAGTACAGAATATTGAAGGGGGACGAGACCTTGTGAGGGGTACCCTGTGTGAGCTTCTCAAATGATTGTTTTTGAATGTGTTTGATTGTTTTGAGAAGGACATTTATAGGCCCCGAACCTTAGACATGTTATAGAATATTTTTATTTTAAAGCACATAGTTGTGGTATGTTGTGGTAGTAGTAGTAGTAGTAGTAGCAGCAGTAGTAGTAGTAGTAGAAATTCACCTTGTTGTGTGGGCTCGGATTAACTGAGGGGGGTTCTGGTGCCCAACTAAGTGATTGAGGTGCAAATTAGCCACCAATACTACTTTTAACTTAGGCAACGTTCCGAGGCTTTGTGGGCTTGGATTAACTAGGCAAGGTTTATCAATTATTAATAAATTATTACTCCAATGTTTGCAT